TCTTGGGGATGAGGATGGGTTTTTCCAGAGAATCTCCATTTGCACTGATTTTTGAGAAACAGTCGAAGTGGATAAAGAGAAGAAGGAAAAACGTAACCAGCGGAGGGAACAGCATGAACAAAGGCTAAGAGATAGGAAAGTAGGGTATCCATATGGGATGATGTGGGAGAAGGACGATGTGCGGAATGGACTGTGGAGGGGCTTCATGGTGGGATTGGAGCTGAAACACAGGCCAGGGCCAGCCCAAGCAAGGCCTCCTATGCGAGGACAGAGCTGAAATGCTGCTTCTTAGGCAACAAGGAATTCACAGGATTCCTTTGAGGAGGGATGTCCTACAAGCCAACATGTGTTCCAGGATGAAGAACAAGAAGAGAAAAGGTGGCGAGCTTGGGCTACTGCAGAATCATCCAGACAGTAGCGGATGAAGACCGTGGACAGACACAGAAGGAAGGTCCCCAGGCCACCCACGGAATGTGGGACCTCCACCAGCACCCTGCATCGGAGCAGCCGTGACAAGCCTGTTTGTAGAGCATCTTGACAAAATCGGCTGCAATTCTCATCTCTTATTTTCTGCTCAAATCACCTTTTTTTCTGTTTTCACTTTCAGTTAAGAGGATTAGTTTGCGGAGAGGGTGTGTGTGTGTGTGTGTGTGTGTGTGTGTGTGTGTGTGGTGTATTTTAATTAAGATGAAGCAACAATTAAGTCCCTGGAGCCTGAGTCATTCCCACGGGCACAACCCTCTCCTGAGTGGCACTCAGCTCCGGCCGCCTCCCTCATTTTAAGTCAAACTCCCAGCAGCACATAAAAAGCAAATCCCAGGGCCACGCGCCTCTAAGCCTGTCCGCAATGCTCTGGCTGTTTCCTGGCTGGTGTGCTCCCAGGGAAGAGGCTGAGCTTCCTAGCAGAACACTGGTGAGTAATGAGTCCTAAGAGCAGATTTCTTGGGAGCAGTGAGTGAGGCGAAGGGCAAGGTGGAAGCAGTGATGGAAAGTGTTTGTATAACCCGCCGGTCCCCTCTCACCCCGACACACACCGAGGTTTCTCTTTCATGATTGTTTAGCCTCTTTCTCCCTCCCAACCACCGAGCACTCAATTCTTGGAGGGAAAATTAACATTCATTATGCAATTTATCTCTCTCCTTTTAATCCAGAGTGTCTGTCTCCCAGGTCCCTTCCTCAATAATTAATGTTTGTTCTCATTCCCATTCTCCAGAGCCTCTATTCTGGAACCGGAGGGTCAACAATTAACACTGATTATGGCTTTTCCCTCGCTCCGGTGTCGGTTCTCAGAATCCCTAGCCGCCACACTGAGGCTGCGTGCGTGTGTGGCTGTGTGTGTGTGTGGCTGTGTGTGTGGCTGTGTGTGTGTGTGGCTGTGTGTGTGGCTGTGTGTGTAGCTGGGCGTGTGTTTGTGCGTGTGGCTGTGTGCGTGTGTGCGTGTGTGTGTGTGTGTGGCTGTGCGTGTGTGGCGGTGTGTGTGCGCGTGGCTGTGTGTGTGCGCGTGGCTGTGTGTGTGCGTGTGTGGCTGTGTGTGCATGTGGCTGTGTGTGTGTGGCTGTGTGTGTGCGTGTGGCTGTGTGTGTGTGGGTGTGCGTGTATTTAAATACTATATACCTACCAAACTCAAATTCATGATGGCAATTAACTCTGGAGACATAATGCTGATGTCCTATGTGTGCGTGTGTGTGCGTGTGCATGTGTGTGTGTGCGTGTGGCTCTGTGCGTGTGGCTGTGTGTGTGCGTGTGTATGTGTGTGCGTGTGGCTGTGCGTGTGGCTGTGTGTGTGCATGTGTGTGTGCGTCTGGCTGTGTGTATTTTGTGCATGTG